CACTTATGTTCTTTCAAAAGTTCTCATATTCCTTTCCTTCCATAATTTTCCACACTATTGTACATTTTGCTACCTCCCTTAGTAATCAACCAACAATAGACAGACTTTCTGCTTTCATATGAATGCAGATCTCTTTATTCTATCTCTGTAATTCACGTTAACATTTAATATTTTCTAGCAGTGTTCACAAACTCAGTGGCTTCAACTCTAAACCGGCCAGTTAGATCAAAATCAGGCACGGGCCGGTTTTGGTATTGGTTAGTTTTGGTGATCCAGGTAGGTATTTAAAAAAATAAAAAAAACATATTTAAAATCCCAAAAAATAAGAGATTTGTTTGTAATGCGGTTTTGAATGTTTTATATCATTTTGGGAAAGATTGAAAATTGTTTTGGCCATGTGTACTTATTTTTATATTTTCCTATTTTTTTTTAAAAAATAAAAAATACCCCCGGCGCAAATCAATTTTAAAATCCATTTTTCACTAATTTTCAATTTCATTTGGATGTGTTTTGTTTAATCATGCTTTAAATATACTTTTTATATTTTTTAAAATTACTTTTGTTCTCAACACTTTTTTGACCGCCCGGGACTTGCTTGATAAGGGCGGTTGAATTGACAGGTTTACCAGTTAATCAGAACCGACCCTTGGCAAGTTTGATTTTTCAAACATTGATTTCTAGTATCCATTCTTATAATCTTCTTGCCACCGAGCAATTTAAAAACATATGATCACATGTTTTTTCATCATCCATGCACTAAATTCTTATATTTGATTACCATTGCCCCTTGCCCTCATCTCATCAATGGGTAACAACTTCTCCAAACAGAACCACCAAATAAAACACCCAATCATGTTTAGGATTGGCAACCTCCACATCTTTGCCACCCCCATCAAGGGGTGGCAATGGACCCAGACCCGACCCGAGATTCGACTTCCATACGTTGCTTGAGTCTTGGTATGGGTTCAAGAATTGGACCGAAAGGATTGGGTCTATGTCCAAATACGATTAATATTTAAATAGACATAACTATATATTTTTAATTATAATATTCAAATAATACATGTATAAATTTAACATAACATTTAAATATATTTTAAATATATATTTTTTATTTTTTGGTTGGGTCCAATCAGGTCTGGATCTGATAACTTCGAGTTCGGGTCCAGCCGGACCTAACTTGACCCGTTGCCACCCCTATCTCCATCTATATTTGCCACAAAAAATGTGGCTGTGCTATAAGGTCCCATATCACCTCATCCTTATTCTTTAGGGAATAATACCAAAATAGGATTGAATTACCACATCTGCCTGCCTGTTATATCGATATCTTCCTTTTATATTTATAATTAAGGTGTGGTTTGTATAGAGCCTAGGCTCTAAACAATCAAATTAGAGCTTACCTTGAAATAGTACCAAGAAATGTGGTTTCAATATTGAAAATCTTTGTGATAGCCTTACAATATATTTTCATCTTTATTTACAAAATTTAAAGCTTTAAAAATAGTATAGATCGGCAGATCTATAAAAGCATGAAAACCTTGAAAATTGACGGTCCAAAAATGCATTACAAAATATACTATTTCCAAATTTTAAATCCATTTTTTTTCTCATGTCCATGCATCTGGATGTCGAGATGATCAATTCGAAGATATTTGGGTATCAAAATAACCTCTTCCAGTTAAATTTTTGTGGTAAGCTTCAATTTGATTGTTTAGAGCCTGGGCTCTATATAAATTTTTTCCTTATAATCATGGTTGCCAAGATCAACCTTATAAAAATTTTAGATCCATAATATCATACTTACGAAAAAGACGTAATTTTAAGTTCAAATCCATTATCGTATAGGACTTTTAAAGAATTCCACATTTGAATAGGTGCATCAGCACATGCACCAAAACCCTGTACTTTTTTTTTTGGGTGAGTAACTGGGAAGGGGGCCCTGCCTATAGTAGGAATTGATCCTAGGACGTAGTGTGGCAAATCATCAAGCGCCGACTAATTAAGCCCGGCGCTTTTTCTATACCACATGCGTCTCTTTACTCTCACACAATTGCCAAGATATTTTCACATGATGAACACTATGTATAGGGCGAGGTTTGTATAAGGTTACTTTTTTATGCTATAAAAGTGAAACACACATCTAAAATTTGCTTAGAGATATCATTTTCATATAAGAAATATTATGATGGCTTGAAAATCTATTTTCATACATAATTATAAAATTTCAAATCTAAAAAATGGTACAGTTGGAGCAGATAAATAAATATTTGAAAATTTTAAAAATAGGCGGTCCAGATAACATGTTACAAAATGCACTGTTTTTTTAACTTAAAATTCTTTTTTTTTTTCATATCAAAACATGTTAAGGTCAAGATGATCAATTGGAGTATTCTTCAATGCTAGAACGCACTCTTCTATAGGATTTTTTAAAGCGCACCTTAATTCAATAGTATAAGATTGCAGCCATATAGATATAGTTGTGGGTCCACCCACTCGATTTAGAGTTGCTTAAAACACACTCCTTATTTCACCTAAACCATTCAATGATATCTTTCTTGCATTGGTTGCTTGATGAAAGTGAAAGCAAGCTTTTCTGTGCCTTCATCATTGCATCTCTACAACTTCGCAATGTCAAAAAGCATGGGTCCCCTGCCAGTAAAAACACAAAAAATAAATAAAAAACATAGCGACCTTTTCCTCAAAAGTCTTTTCTCTTATTTATTTTAAGCATGTGATTTGAATCTGTTGGTTAGGAGAATAAGACATCTTAGCTTCATGGGCTGTATACTTTCTAGCATGACAAAATGGAAAATAAAGAAATGATAAAAAATTGCTCATTAAATGGTGACCTAATGTCTCAAACTTTTATGAGAAGCTTAAAAATAACTCCAATCTTGACTAAAGTATGGTTAACTTTTAGGAGAAATGTGATTACCAAAGTGCCCATAATTTTTTTTTTAAGTAATGAGTTTTTTTTTTTATAATAGGAAGTAATGAACTGAGTTTAAGAAGTACTTCATTGGCCATAAGAGTGGATAGGTAACTGAAAAAGGAGTTTTAAAAATGCCCGATCGGCACAGAATCACTAGTCCGATTTAAGAAGCGTTTACCCTGTGTCGTTCGGGTCTAGAAGAGCACTGGCAATTTGTTACGATAACAATGCTGATTCACTGATTCAGACCGATTTTTGGCTAGTTCACTATTCTTGCATGTATTTTTTTGCCAGTTCACTATTTTTATGGTACAATAAAACAACAATCCGAACTACTGTTTTACTGATCCAGAACGGTTTTTGTGATGCCCGATCCGAGTCACCGATCTGTTTTCTAAATAAGTGTTTTTCTGTAATAATAAGAAACTTATTAATGTTGGAAACAATGATACGTCTATTTTCATATGCATTCCCTCGCAAAAATCCATTTACATATGAGTTTTGGATCTAAAATTATGAATTTGCTAAAAAGAATTTAAACCTTAAAAGTATACTTTGACATGGTTAAAATGATCCAAAATCAGTCCAAAAACGAAATTTCGAATGACTTAACGTTTATACAAAACTAGAGAGAGAGAGAGAGAATATTCTCGATGAGTTTTTCAAGCCATTAGATTTTGGAACAATGTCAATCTTTAAGATGGTCCCTTGAAGGAGACCTCATTTGAATAAAAACAGAGCATATATAAGATAATTTATCTTTAATACAAAGGGATCATATTTACCCTTACAAGTGAAATTTGACGGCTAGAGTGTGCCCACAGAAAAAGAAAATATTTAAAACTATGTAATACATCTCAAAAAGCAGAATTCTAAAACTAATGGCTAAAAGTGACCGTGACATTTTTGAATAATTGATCTAAATATATAATCATGTAAAAATTAATCTTAATTATAAAAAAAATTGAATAAAATATTTGAGAGAGTTTTGAAAGCAACATAGTACATGGCATATGGAGATGAAAGTTTGTACAATACAGAGAGATTGAGTGGGGCTTGGTTCGAGTAGTTAGGAGTTGACGTTAGACAAGGCAAGACTGATCGGTTGAGTTGTTCAATATCTCATCGGTGCTTTAGTTAGTGTAGTCTAAAGTAAAATCTAGGTTTAATAAAAAAAGTTTTTATTTTTATATGGGTAAACAATATTGGACAAATTTTAATAATTTTATATTTTTATAGTATTTTATATTTTTATTTATTTTCAAATACTGTCTAAAAAATTTCATGTAGTAGTTAAAGTACTTTTGACTAGACCAGATCTCTACCTAGTTCGATAACCAGTTCAATTTATTACCAAAGACTGATAAAGAAATTACAATAATAGGTATTATTAAACATCCTAACCAAGATTTTAAAAATTGACTCTGTAAACATAATTGCCCCTCTAGATTTTCAATCTCGTTTTGTAGATTGAGCATTCGGACCAAAAATTAAAAATAAAAAATTAAGTAGGGGCAATTCTTTGACAAAATCTAAATTGTTTCTTTTTCTTTAAAAATGGGGTGTATTCAAATAGTTCTATGACATAATTGGCCTCCGGTTCCTCATATTTTATATGATCTGGACCGATCAATTTCAATCCATATTACGATTTTTAAAACACAACAATTATTCCCTATTTTCATCGAGATAAAAGGAACGTGCAATATGATATTTGCATAAATTATTATTTTTGGATAATTCAGTGGGGATAACGGGTTTTTACTCTTTTTTTTAAATCATCGGTATTTTTTTAATTTATTAGGTGAGAATAATAGCGTAGAGTTTAACATGCACAAGCAATGCAATACATAAAATTTAGAAAACACAAAATAATATTCACCAAAAAAGCGAAATAAGTGGAGAGAGCATATCTAAAAAAAAGTAAAAGTTAGAGGGAGAATAATTATGGAATTTAACGGTATTAAGCCAAAAAAAATTGCAGCCAAAGGGCATTATGGTCATAATGTACTTCTCCCACGTGCCTTCCGCCACTTTGAGGCGTAGCCGTTTTCTGCAGACAAAAGATGCTTCCTCTGCCACTCTTACCAGAAGGAGAACAAAGCTCCACACTCACTCCAATTCTCCCCACCTTCAAAACCCTAGCCCTAACCCTGACCATGACCCTGACCCTGACCCTGACCCTAACCCTAAACCACAAGACTTCATAACCCACTTTCATGGCCCCAAGCTTCACGAAGCCCTAAACAGGAACTTCAAAGCTCCTTTCATGGCTACCTCTGAAAAACCCAGTTCACTTCACCTTGGAAGTCCCTCTCATGGCTTCGGCCACTTTTTTAAACCCTGACTAGTAGTTTGGGAGTATTTTTCGCAGTGTTCCGTGTCTGAAAACCAAAGGCGAGCTCTATGTGAATGCCGCATTTTTGTCTCTGAGCCTGTAATAGAAGCCATGAAGGACTCAGGTAGAAGCACCCAAGACCAGAAAACACTAGATATTATGGGCCAGAAGGGCTCTGGATCTGAGAGGCCAGGTCCAAGGCATCCAAAGATTGAGCCATTTGTTCCAATTAGTAGCAATTTCAATCCTAATGATTTGAAGACTTGGGCGAAGAGGACCGGTTTTAACCCTAATCTCTCTGGTGAGACTACAACCAGTGCGAGTGACATTGGTCAGGATTTAGAGAGAGGGGAGAAGAATAATAAGGGAGAAGCAGAGAGAAGAGCTGAAATCGAGCCAGTTTCTAGCACGAGGGTTGGGGGAAACAGTAATGGCAATGGAGACTCAACAGTGAATCGGAGGAGGACTCGGGCAAAGATTCCGACGAGTATCCCGGCCAATAATGGAGATCCGGTGAATTCTCCGGCGAAAGTTGGCCCTGCTCCTTCTCCTTCTACTCCTGCCACCCCTGCTCCTGCTCCTGCTCCTGCTCCTGCTTCTGCCCCTGCTCCTGCTCCTGCTCCAACAGAGACGCAAAAGGAATTGGAGATTGATGTTTTATCACTGTCACAGGATGGTGAAGATTTGGTGTTGCCTCAGAGGCTAGAGATGAAGTATGGACCAGGAGATGACCCTGGTTATGGTGAGTGATTGTGTATCTTGAATAAAGGTCATGAACTCTATTTTATCTGTGTGCATTGTGATTTTTTTTTTTATTATTATTATTTGGCATTGGTGGCTTTTTTACTTTTGCTTGCATCTGTTCCCCTTTGATATAGTGTGAATTGGGATTATTTTCTTTATGGATCTTGTGAAATCTCCCTTCATTGGATATTTTTTTCTTGTTTTTCCCTTCTGTTTTATTATTTTTAGATAATTGTGTGGGGGGTGAAGGTTTGGAAAGAGAAGTACTATCAAGAGAGATAAAATTTAAAGTCTCGAACAAAATTTTTTAAGGGTGTGGTTTGTATAAGGTTGCAACCTTAAACAATTAAATGAATGCACACCTCCAAATTTCATCATAAATATAATTTTGGTGTAAAAAATTATTAGGATGGTTTGTGAATCTATTTTTATCTCTAATTATAAAACTTTAAACTCCAAAAATGGCTCAAATCATGTAGATCTATAAATAATTGAAAATCTTGAAATGGATGGTCCAGATAATGTGTTGCAATATATACTATTTTTAGGGCTCGAAATCTTTTTTTCTTTTCATATTCATTCATCTTAAAGCCCTCATATAGGACATGCGGATTGAACTCTCTCTCTTCATGGGCATGTTTTTTGAGTCAGTCTGTTATTTAGTGAGCTTATAATTCATGATTAGTAAAATGTATCAAGGATGAGTTCCAAATTGTTAGAGAGAAATTTGTGGCTGGGATTATCATTAGTACTTCACAATGGTATTGCGAAGTTACACAGCAATTTTATTAATTCTTTGATAATTAAGTGACCAAGCATATTTAATGAAAAAAATAGAGCGCACCATCTTTTGGCAAGTTTGCCATGATAGAAATTTAAAATTTCAGCCGCCAAACTGAAATGATGGTGTAAAAGTACAAGTCGTAATTACACATTTGTTAAATGCTATTTTTTTTCTTTCATAATCCGTCTACCTACATAAAGGGCCTTGGTATTTCTTTGTTTAACCTATAGACTTCTCAAGCGGATTGATGTTTTACAGCTTTACTTGTTTCATTGGAATGTCATGGATCTAATCTTTTGTAAATAAACAGTCAGTAGCCCCTGGATGTTTGATAGACATCTGCTGCTTTGGTTATCATATTTAATGCCCTTCTATTGTCCACTTAATGGTAGTTTGTCTTCTTGATTGTTTAAACAGCCATGGCTTTTCATTCTTACTGTTTCTTTTTCTTTTGACTGCAGTACCCCTTATTTTCTATGGCATGCAGCACTACTTATCATTGGCTGGTTCTCTTGTTTTTATTCCTGTGATACTTGTACCTGCCATGGGTGGAACTGATGTAAGAAAAATATGATTGCATAATTTCTTCTTAGACTACCAAGTGGCACTGAGTGAAGAAAAGGATTTTGATCGTTTTGACAGGAAGACACTGCCATAGTGATATCAACGGTGCTCTTGGTATCTGGATTTACAACAATACTGCATTCTTACTTTGGCAGCAGACTTCCGCTGGTTCAAGGAAGCTCGTTTGTTTATTTGGCACCAGCTTTAGCTATCATAAACTCTCAAGAATTTCGGAATCTTACTGATAATGTAAGTTGGCAATTTGCTGTTACCAATAAAAAATAAATATAAATTGTCAAGTTGATGATAGTTAGCCACTTATAAAATCTGGACTTTAAGTTGGTGTTACTTAGGCATTACCTCATTGAGTGAAAATTTAATGAGTGCTCCATGTATGCTTTTTGCTCACTCTCCAATAACTGTTAGTTCTTGTTTGAGTCTGGGAATTGTTTCACTTGGGAATTATTGAGTGGTGTCACCACTTATTTGCTTTTGTAGCCTGCTTTCATTTGGAAAGTGAAGGGAAGTAGGACTCTACCGCTTCAGCAGTAAACATCATGATCTTCATCCATACCATCTGTACCATTCAGCTAAACTGACAAATCACATTTGAACTCATAGAATATCATAAATTCATAACCTTTTGCTCTCACGACCCAATCTCAAAATTGAATTAAGTTAAATATCACACTAGAACTTAAGAAGTCTTACATGTTAGTGAAGAAGATTTATTAATCTGATGAACATTAGAGTTAGACCTGTTGATAGGTTATGATAAAAAAGACCTGGCATCATTGCTTTGCTAGTGTAGGCAAGTTAGAGCTAGTTTGCTATAGCTTAGTCAAGGCAATGCATGCTGTAGAAGTTTTGTTGAGTTATATGACTGATTTGGTCTTTCCCCATTCTGAGTCAACTCACTGTGTGTGCTTGTTGCCGTTGTTGCTTTTGTTGACCTTGCTTGCCTGTGCGGTTTTCTCAACCAAGCTTATCAATTTGTTTATATGAGTGATAAATCGTGCTAATTTAACATCAAGAGGCTGTCATTATTGACCTTAACTACCCAAATACTTGGGTAAGTGATGGCTATTTGGATGGAGCCTGCTTATGAATTTGCAATTAGGAGTGAATGCAGGATTATTATCACGTCAATCTCAGTCATAATGAATGTTATACAGTTTCAAATGAATTGGTTGGAAAATTCAAGCTGAGTTATCAATCATTGGGTAGTTGGCGACTACTTGAATAAAATCTAGGGATCAATGGAAGTCAGCTTATATCAGGATGGGCTGAAAGCTTTGTTGCAAAGTCATCTCCATGCATAATTTATGGTTGGTATTTCATTGAGTTGAGATGTCAATCATTTGTATCTGCAGGGTTGGGACACATAGATCTCAATTCTAATATGTGGTTCCTAATTAAATTGAGAGTTTTTTTTTTTTTCCCCAATTCTATTAAAATTTGCTCAGTTTTCTCTATTCTTAGTGCTCAAATTGTTTATCGTTATTGACAAATATAAACGTTTTTCTGCATTTTTATGTACCTTCTCTTTTGTTTCATTCATGCAGAAGTTTAAACACATAATGAAGGAACTTCAAGGAGCTATCATTGTTGGTTCAGTTTTCCAGAGCATCATAGGCTACAGTGGTCTTATGTCCCTCTTCTTAAGGTTTTCTACAAGGCTATAGATTGGTATTTTTTGCTGTATTTTTATGTTTCATTTCATATACTTTGGATTATGTTTTGTCCTTTCTGGTCTAGTTCTTTTTTTACTCACTAAACATCTTTTGTTGCCTGCTGAATTCAATTATGGTGTAAAGGCTGCTTCATTGGTCTACATTAAATAGCCTTGCTAATTAGTGTTTAATATTAGTGGGCAATAATACTACACAGTAAAATTGGTGTACATTAAATAGCCTTGCTAATTAGTGTTTAATATTAGTGGGCAATAATACTACACAGTAAAATTGGTGTACATTAAATAGCCTTGCTAATTAGTGTTTAATATTAGTGGGCAATACTATACAGTTTTTGTTCATTTTAAAGTATTTTGATCATTCCTTCTTTCCCGGAGAGAACATGATTATACCTTCATTTTCTTTAGACAACTGGATCTATGTAGTTTGGTGTTACAAGTACTTAATGTGAATTTGAAATACAGATATTGTGGATTACCTATGGTTAGTTTTTCCAAAGTTCGTTTTTCTTTTTATTGTTTTCAAGCTAATCTTATGTTCCATTAATTAGGTTATGTCTTCTTGTTGAACTAGGATTTTATCTTTTTTTTGGTAAGTAAACATCTTGTGTACAAGTGATGGCACCATTAAAATTGTATATGTTATACATATGGAATGGATATAGAGGAGTTTTTAGACTGTTTCCAATCAAGAAAGCTTGTCCAGCCACTTCTCTTCCCAGGTTGGGGCAGCCTTCTTGGTGTAAGAGGAATTTGATTCATCTATGTTTCCTTTGATCTATTCTCCCCACCAGGAGTTTGGTCTTGAAGAACAACTTCACCATATTAAATGTCGACCTTTACTTGCGACTAGAACCATTTTATGGGAAGCAAGTAATTGAAGTGCAAGCTTCAGAGGCTGTCTCCTAGATAAAAAGATGACTAATTGGATGTAATTACTTGTCCTTCTGCATACATGAGCACCATTATTCTGACAAATAGCGCCCCTGCTTTGCTTTCGAAAACCTGAAATGACTTGACCTCGACCTACTTGTGATATATAGCCTATATCGTTTTATTGGAAAACTCTTCCAAGTTTTATAGGAAAGAAAAAAAGTACATGGAAAGAATTAAATGTGTGTTCTAACAAAGTACAAATAAAAGAAGCAAAATTAGGGCATTATGTTCTTTTCTTCTGGAACACATCCTGATACTATGCATCTAATCTCGTAACTGGAAGAACTCATCATCATCATGTTAGTTTTTCTTTTATAACCTAATAGCTGTTGGAGTGGCACAATTTGGAATTTTGACAGGATCCTGGATGTCCTTTTTTGGATGAAATTGCAGATTATTAAATCCTGTGGTGGTTGCACCAACAGTTGCTGCAATAGGTTTATCATTTTTCAGCTATGGATTTTCTCAAGCTGGCACTTGTGTAGAAATCAGTATTCCCCAGCTTCTATTGGTTGTCATTTTTTCTTTGGTAAATTCGACCTTTTGCTCTAGAAGCAGTTTCATTTTCTTTCAATATGTTTAATTACCTCTGTTTGAAGTAGCTCTAGGGTATCTTAAGTATTGGTTTCATCTGCTGTACTGTTTTTTATCATATAAGTTACCATAGTCACAAATCTGTATGGGGGAGTCAATGAAGATTTAAAAGCCTACAGACTTTCAAATTTTAGAGAATTTCAGAGAAAACAAAAAAGGAAACATAAAATGAAATATTGTAAATTTATACTTTCATGTAAAAAGAAGTGCTGCTTTTTCAAAAAATTTCAGAAAAATTTAGAAGAAACTGCAAAACCTTATGAATCTTAGATAATGAAGAAAAATTTCATGCTTTTCGAATCTTGAGAAAATTTTGCAAGAACGAAAAAATGGATATAGTTCTCCCTGTGAATCCTACAATATGAATGTAACTTGATATACTGTCGACAAAATATGTGGATATCTTTGTTTCTCACACTAAATGCTTGTATTTCTGCCTTACGTGCAGTACCTTCGAAGAATTTCCTTGTTTGGGCATCGTATATTCCAGGTTTATGCGGTATGCTTTGAAATTATTATATTTCTATTTATTTCCTCATGGGTGTATATGCGTTAACATGGCAGCACTTAGTTTGCATAATTTTGCTATCTTTAGTTTCAAAAAGAAATATGGAAAGAAATAAAAAGAAAAGGAAAAATGTTTGGAATGGCTGCATAAATAGTGCAGGTGCTCCAGAAATTTGAAATCTTAATGAATGTTTGGACCATGCATAAATATTTAAGTCACAATCATTTTACTAAAGCTTTTCCTAATGGGTTAAAATAATAATTTAGAAAACGATTCGTCTCTACACACTGTTTTGATCTTTCAAATTCCTGAAGTGGCTGCACAATTCATCTGGGTATTCTGGGCAAAGTTTTGATATTTTAGCAAAAAGAGAATTATTTGCTGCTCTCTGGTCATGATGCCAGCAACACCAAATGGGGTGCTCAAGGGTTTACCTCACTGTTGCTTCCTATTTGCTGCAGGTTGCGCTTAGCGTGGCCATTGTATGGGCATATGCTTTCCTTTTAACAAAAGGTGGGGCTTACAACTATAAAGGCTGCAATCCAAATATACCTAGTTCGAATATCTTATATGATGCATGCAAGAAACATGCATTCACCATGAAGCATTGCCGAACTGATGTTTCCAGTGCATGGAGATCAGCAGCATGGGTGAGGATTCCTTATCCTTTACAGTGGGGAATACCCACGTTCCATTTCAGGACATCTATTATAATGGTCTTTGTCTCAATCATTGCGACGGTGGATTCGGTGAGTGCTTCCCTATCACTAGTGTTATCCAAAAAAGTATTGCTTTTATCTATCCAAAAAAGAATGATTGACCATATCCTTTTAGACCTAGTGTTTAAGTGACCTTTGATTTTCATGAACAGCCCATTCTGTTTGCTTGCAATACAAGTCTTATCCTTTCTCTTCCTTTATAACTATTTGGCCCATTAAATGAAAGCAAAATACATCGAAAAGAATTTTATTGGAACTCATTTCCTTCTCTTTTTCTTTCTTTTCTTTTTTTTGGGGAAATCATTACCTGATTTAGATCTCATATTTTGATTACTAACTATAGTTGATGATAATTGGATTTCTTGTCTTGCAATGCGAATTGTTACTCTGCTTGTTTCAAAGCTGACCCAGGTTTGGCAGTTAAATTTAGGGCAGTTAAATTTAGAGGAACTTGGGTGAGTTTTATCATGAATATTTCTTCAGATTATACTCTGTTTCCATGTCAACTAGTGCACAGTTACTTATATGAAGAAAAATGGTACGAACTTCATGCTTGATGCACCCAAGATGAATTATTGAGTACAAAAAGAAAGGACTGTCTAGGGCAATGAACCAGGACATCCTTTAGAGTTTTGAAGTAATTATAACATGACCTTGTATTAGCAAAATTGCAAATTTATCTCTTTGGTTTGATATCAATAGAGCATAGCGCAGGGTACTTCTGTTTAGTGTATTACATATAGTCTTGATCTTGCATCTCGATATGATAAACCATTTCTCCGCTTTAGCAGAGAAGGGAAGAATAGAAAACGGAGGCTTCATGGGGAGGCCTCATCTCTTTCCATCATTGAGAAATGATTGTGGAGCCCTAAAAGAAATATACAAACAGTATACTACATATAGTACAGAAACATCTAAAATATCTAAGATATATAGCCAAAATGTCAAAAAGATAAAGTTTATCGACACCCACTTAACTGTATATCAGTTGCCCAGTATTCTTTTTATCAAGAAACTAAACCAGACACTATTACGATTGATACACCAACGTATGTTAATCTCCACCCTTCGATAGTGTGAAAGGATGGTGCATGTCCCTGTTATATACCATATACATATACCATTGTTACCAGTATTATATCTTTATTAGAATACATCAAGTACTTCGTCATTTGGCAAGGTTCTTAAGATTGCCCTTGATCATCACATCCCAGAGTCGGAATGTCGCAGGCTACTGAATGTATTTTTCCTTTCTATTCTTTGCATAACTATATTCAGGTCGGATCTTATCATGCTGCATCATTACTGGTTAATTCAAGGGCCCCAACCCCAGGCATTGTTAGTAGAGCGATTGGGTTGGAAGGAATCACAAGCTTGTTGGCTGGACTCTGGGGCATGGGAACCGGATCGACAACCCTAACTGAGAACATGCATACCATTGCTGTGACAAAGATGGGTAGTCGAAAGGCAATCAATCTAGGAGCCGGGCTTTTGATCCTTTTCTCACTTGTAGGTAAGAATTTATTTATTTATGGGAAAAGTTTAGATATGGTCCCTTTCAATAGATTTTGGATCTGAAATTTCACAAGTCGGTAATCTCGACCACCATGATTGTGATCTGAAAAATAAATGGATTTTAAAACTTGAGATAAATATTCTTAAAAGATTAAAATGAAGGGTTAATAAAAAACTGTCCACAAGAAAATTTTAAAATTACTTATTTTAAGGTTTAAAATCTCTTTTTTTAGATTCATGATTGTGGTGGTACAGATTACCATGGTGTAAAATTTTGGATCTAATATCCATCTCTAAGATGAATTTTTGGAAGGAGACTGCACAAATTAATAGGTGCATGGCATATGACGCATCAAACCCCATCCTTTATTTATCATGCAAAGTTAACTCTTGTAGTGGATGATATGCCTGCAGAACTTTGACATGTTTGGAGATATGTGATATTTTCTTTTGAAGCTGTGAACTGTATTGTATTAATAGTACAGAGTTACATGTAAGACTGGTATACCAGAAAATAGGCTACCCAAAACAACTGGGAGCCCTACACAAAAACCTTCAAGGGGCCCAAAAAATCCGAAATGAAAATGTACAATGAATCACAGGTGGGTAGGAACAAGGGGTTCAGTAGCTCAAAAAGGTGCCTGGAAACCCCTCTGAAGGGTTACTAGAAGCTCCCTCCCTAGCAAGGAGGTCAGCTTCAGCATTGGCTTCCCTTCATATGTGCCTCCACGAGGTGCTAAGAGGGCTGATAATGGGAGATGTATATTATTATTGAAGGTAAAAAAGGACTCTGGCGTATTTACTAGAAGCTCCCTCCCTAGCAACGAGGTAAGCTTCAGCTTTGGCTTCTCTTCATATGTGCCTCCACGAGGTGCTAAGAGGGCTGATAATGGGAGATATGTGATATTATTAAAGAGAAGAAAGAACTCTGGCATATTTACTTACCAAAAAGAAAGAAAAAGATTTGATGTCTTTCAAATCACATTAAGAAGATGGAAATATGTTCATTATTGTGCCTTTCACATAGCATCTGAGTGATACACTTGCATAACGGAAAATCCTTGTGTATTGTACAGTTTTTTCATTTTGTGAGGATGGGAAATCCTATTGGATTTGTCAATATAGAACAGTTTTTCCTTCATTTGTAGAAGCATATTGGAATGCACATCCCTGTTACTGCATGCATGCCTTAAAAGCCCAATCCGTTAGTTGTATACTCTTTTGCTTCTAATATATATCACAGACATACTCTTTCCAAATACATGTATCGAATTTCTCTCTCTCTCTCTCGCTCCGCCCAAAAAACTAAAGCTCTCTCATTACTGTCATAGGTATAGTTTTATATGTGAAATTTGTCATAAGAGTAACTATTTAACCATATCTTTTGATTTAATTTCAAACTACCCATCAAAAGACATAAGATCATGACTTGGAATAGTTGTAAATGGGTAGCCTGGACAGTGATGCTACATAGATTAAGGATTAAGGCCATGCAGTTGGGACCATAATGGTGCTATGTAGTCCAATAAAAGGCCAATTTGGATCGGGAATCGGTGGGGACTGACCTAGTTCCTTAACAAAACTACTAGGAAGTAGTCCATTTTATAGGCACTTTCCCGGTTCCCACCCATCGCAATTTTCTATTTCTATTTTCTTTTTTTGTTTATCAAATTTTAAATATTATTTAATTTTTTTTGACCTATTACCACACCAAATAATCTGCCAATTTGGCTCGGGTCTGTCCATCCGGTGACCAATCCAGGTTTTAAAACATTGTTCCAAACTAAAAAGATAAAAAGAAAACCATGCTAGGCTGGGCTGGACCATTGACCCCTGGCCCAGGCTTGGCCATACCTTGGGTCTGGATTTATGCTTGGGGCTGTCCCACAGGCCAGATTTAGGGCCTTATTCCAGCTAGGCCGTTCCCAAGCCTACCCTTATATTTAGAGGTATTAATTTAGGAAAAGTATAGAATGAGACCATTTACCTTTGATACAAGGTGGACACATTAATCTTGACCATTGGATGTGAAATTGGGTGGCTGCAATTGTTCCATTGATCAAGCTCAAACTTCAAAAGAAAATTTCTCAAACTTTATGACACATCCAAGCTATCAAATTTCATATCGGATGGTTGTAAGTAATTGTGACTACCTTGTATCAAAGGTAAATGGTCTCATTGTATACAATCCCATTAATTTATTGTCTTGTCTATTTATAAAAATTGAATGTAAATTACGAAAGGTAATTTATTCCATGCCTTGTTCAATAAGAAGCTGTGTTACTTCGTAAAGAACACATATAATTGAAGCTGTTATTTCTTGAATTTGCAGGGAAAGTGGGTGCTATTATTGCGTCAATGCCGCAGTCTTTGGCTGCTTCTGTATTGTGTTTCATGTGGGCCATGGTAGTGGCTCTTGGCTTATCAACTCTACGATACACTGAAGCCCGAAGCTCTAGGAATATGATAATTGTGGGCCTCTCTTTGTTCTTCTCGCTGTCCATTCCTTCATACTTTCAGCAATATGGAACCAATTCAACCCTTGTTGTCCCGAGCTATTTTGTTCCTTATGTAGCAGCTTCAAATGGACCGATCCATACTGGGAGTAAATCCGTAAGCAACAAATATGGTTTGATGCAACTTATTTTATGAAGTTAAAAAAAATATTTTGCATATCTTATATTATTTGTATTAACAAACCCAAAATCTTTTTACTCGATGTTAGAATTCCTCGCCCCGAACTAAAAACAAAACTAGCTCAACCGAGTAACTATGGTTGTTTCCTGTTAATGCAGATGCCTCTTTTGTCAATTTCCTTGTTTTTCTCTGTAAATTTTAGTCATGTCTATGCGCCGCATGGCTCTGTCAATTTACCGTGTCTTTCAGTTTTTATTGCCATTGTCCTTCTAACCAGTGACTGCATCCTCAGGATCAGGATTATGGTGTCATTTTAGAGGAAAGTTACCTTTTAAGGAATCTTTTAGTATCAACTTAGACAAACCCGTTTGTATTTATAACTGAAAACCATTCTGTTCATTGTGTGAAAATGAAATTCATGGATATTGACTACATTGGCAGCTAAATTACGGGCTAAATGCCATTCTTTCGCTTCACATGGTGGTTGCTTTTCTTGTGGCCTTTGTTTTGGATAACACCGTTCCTGGAAGCCGGCAAGAGAGAGGAGTATATGTCTGGTCGACAGCTGATGATATAAGAAATGACCCATCTCTTCTAGCTGACTATTCACTGCCTTCAAGAATCAGTCGGTGCTTCAGGTGGTCGAAATGTGTTGGTGCATGAATCATACAATTCCACAGATACTGAAGAAGAAAAAGAGAGAAGATAAGAGGATTGGTTGAGTTTTAAATCTGGCTTGGGTGTTATAGCAAATCCGATTTAATGATTGGGTATTCATTATTTGAAATTCTTTTCTCCATTTTTAGATGGTTAAGGTATACTGAGGTTAGCAGGTTCAGTGTTTTGGGGAAAGGGATAAGGAGAGATGTAGATGTTGTTTATGATTTTTTTTCCCATTACATGTATAATGTATTGTTCAGTTGTCATTTGTAAGGAAATATGTCAATGAATAGAATTTTGATTTAAATCCAATGAACAGATTACTATCACATTCCTTGTACATGAGTATGCATGGCCGAAGATTTCATGTTATTTATTTGGAGAAAGAAACAATGAAAAATAATCGTAGGTGGTGTGAGCACGCTTGAGAGAGAGAGATGCATAACAGCTCATCCATGGAAACTTGGAGAACTTTGGAATTGGGTTTCACCTTTTGTGGCTGGCAGCTTATCCATGGAAAAGGAGTAGATTCAAGAAGGTTTCCTGTAGGGTTGGCAATGAGCCGGATTCGGGTAAGGGCAGCATTAGCCTGAGCTAGGCCCAAGCATACCCCGGATGGGGCAGCACGCTCCGGACCTGTACTGAGCCAGGTCACTCTGACCTAATAGATTCAAAGAAAGAAAATGCATGGAAAATACAGGGCAAAATCGGGCTGACCCTGTCGTGCCCTTGACCTAGGTTTCGCCTCACCCAGCCTTGTCTTGGCTCAGCCCTCAGGCCATATTTGTAGCTCAGAAACTAGTTTTTGTAGCTCAGGACCTAGTTTTTGAAGGTCTGACCATGCCGCTTGGCCCATTGCCAGCCCCATTTTGTGTAATAAATGGATAGGAGCCATACAATGGTGGTGCATGGCGAATGCCATATCAGTGGGGGCTGCAACTATGGGCGATTTAATGTTTCCAGGCACAATCGATTGCCAATAACTAAAATTAATGGCTTCTTCTGGAGGTCAATGGGGCCGGACAAGTGAATATCCATACAAAAAATGTGCCACTGCTACACATCAGTGGTGTATCCTGTAATATACATTAGCGGTGTATCATAGCTTTCTAAACATTGGTTCCACCCTGCATTTCTTTATATAATGAGACCCACTTTTGATACAATAAAGTCCAAAGCATTTTCAATCATAAAATTTGATCGGTGGTGAGGTGTCACTCGTTAAGCACACTGTTCAAAATAAATTTTCTCAAAAACTGTGATATATTTTAATAAGTTAGATTTTATATTTTATGGTTAAAATAAGTTGTGACCTTCTTGTATAAAAATAAATAGTCATGTAATATACAATTCATTGAAGGAAAAATTGAGCCGTTCAACCAGTTAATGGCAAGTTCGATCGGAATTGGTCACTAGCTGGTTCTAGTTTCGGCCAGTTTTAGTGATCGGTTGAGTATTTTAAAAAAAATTTCAAAAAAATTATATAAAATCTCAAAAAAATATAGGGAATTTATTTGTAATATATATTTTTTTAATATTTTTATCATTATGATAAAGATTAGAATTTGTTTTGGCCATTAATATTTATTTTTACATTTTTCCATCTTTTTAGAAAAATTCAAAACCATCCCTAAGCACAAATCGATTATTTAAAATTCATTTTTTCTATTAATTTTCAACTTCATTTAGATCTGTTTTGTTTAATCGTTCTATAAATATAATTTCATATTTTATTAAAAAAATTTGCATTTTTTAAAACGTTCTTTTAGATTTGTCCAGTTCAAACAGTTGAACCGACCAATTCACCGATTAGGCAGATTGAACTACTTCTGAGCCCATGTCCGATTAACCGTTTTAGTTAGATTTTTCATACAGCTCCCTTTGTTTGATCTTCCTATTGTGCATCATTTGCCACAAGAATTATCCGCAAGGCAGAGGAGCGAACCTTTGCCAGAAAATATAGGGAGGGATATAGCCTGCACCAGAAAAGAGGGAAAAAATGTAGAGCACGAGCCTACATTAGAGGTGAGGTGTGCCTATTTGTGGAGAGAGAATCTTATGGTAGGATTGCTAGACTAGCCCCTCTCGAGAGAGAGAGGTCGGAGGTGTGGTGGTGATGGTGGTGCCGGCTTGTGTGTCTTTTTTTTTTTTTTGTAGGAATACATGCCCCTACTTGTTTTCGGAGGTGTGGTGGTGATGGTGGTGCCGGCTTGTATTTTTTTTTTGGTAGGAATACATGTTCTTACCTGTTTTTAAAAATAATTAACAATTTTAATGTGTCAATGGGAATAGAAACTTAAATCAATAGCTGAAACTCAAGTGCTACCACCACGACCTCAACCCCATTTCCGTGTGGGCTTGTGCGTCTCTCGTAGCATAGCGCATAGGGATTTACTAGAAACGGCTCTACAAGTTACAACCTCTATATCTTCGATCGCTTGAAAATCCTCATAAAACGGCACTAGTAGGATGAAATGATAAGATGCAAGTTTTCTCATGCACAAGGCAGCCCATCAACTCATTTAAAAGAGAAAAATAATTAAAATATCAAGACATACCCTTATACAATAAATTTTCTTTAATCAAATTTCATTATTTACCGATTAATATATGGAATCAATCTATTGCAAAACAAAAAAAAAAAAACCCATTTATTTATGAGCGCATAACTATACTCCCTCATAAGCATAGTTACTTCTTCTCCGTCAGTCTGAAGACCTACTCGGAAGGATTTTTTCAATCCGAAAATTTGAAAATCACTTAGGGGTCGTTTGTTACTTATGTAAATTTTTGCACAGGAAAATAATTTTCCATTTGTAAACAGACTGCTTGCTTTTTTCCAAGTCTAGTAAACACATTTGAAAAGCACATTGCATATGTTTGGTACCTTGATTGGTAAATTATACATTTGAAAAGCACTGTGTAAAGTTATATCCTAGAAATATTAAATATAACTTGTTTTAAATAATTCATCCGTCTATGTTATTTATTTCGTCATCTCTCTTTCGTGGACACACTCTCGAAGAGTTTGAAATAATGCCATTATTTCAACTCTCCCCCCCCTCCCCTTCCCTTCTCTCTAACATGTTCCTTTAAATTGATGTAGGGAAGTTAAAGATTAAAGTTTATCATATCATGCTTCAAAAAGATTAAAATTATCTTATTATTTCAACATCTCTCCCTTTCTAACTCAAACAGAAAAAGAGAGATATGAGAAGTCTCAATTCCATCTACAAGATGTATAGTAATATAACGTATAAGCATTCCATCACATTATATATACAACCATTAATATTACAAAAGATTACCATTACATAATCATAAAGTCTTAATTTCATGCACAAAATGCAGATTGAGTACTAACATGCCAAAATACAGATTTTGATCGGTAGTCTTTAGAAACAAGTATCAAAACAAATAAAGTCCTACAAACTACTACAACCTAGTGCCTATATCAGTAGCATTCCCACATTTAATTAGCAATCTCTTTACGTAATATTGTAACAATATCGAGATTATCCTTGTTCTGATGGCTATCATTTCTCAACTCCAATGAGCATTATGTAATGTTTTTTTCTCAAACATTAACTCCTCATCTGTAACAAGTAAGAACTGTTGAGGTCATCTTAATAAAAATTATGCAATATACAAGTTGCGATGACAATCTTGACCTGAGTACTAATGGATACCGGAATTGCTCTTATAGAATGGGAAACCATACCTTACCAAATATGTGCTCAACGACATTTCACAACAATGAGTGGCTTAAATTAAATAGTTCCCCTTTTGTCATTGGATTGTTTCTACCTTGAAAGTCTTGAAGGTAGTAGCGTATTTTACAATATAGGGTCATAAGGCCTTGCATGTTGTGGTAACCTGCATCTTTAAGGTAGAATTTTTTTACAACAATCACAAGTTATAAATCAGGGTCTGCAATGAAGACTTTATAATTGTTTGAAAAAAAGTTACCTTGTGGCACACAAAATGAATTAGAAGATATTTTCAATGCCGAATATAGTATTCTGTAATCTAAAGCATATCCTTCCCAACCAGAGTACATATTGAAATGTTACGCCAAGGATACATCGACCAACACATTTTAAGATACTTGACTTTTCCTGATGCAAAATAAAAAATGAAGATATAATTTAAGGAAGTGAATCCCATCAAGTGCTCCAACCCAATCTTTGAGTAGGGATGACGAGCCCTTATTCGTTTTTCAAAATCGTTAGTGGTTTTTTAATGTGTTAAGTGAAAATGGGAGCCTAGACCTTAACTAGGGTATAAATGATGCTACCCATAATCTCAACATATGATGGTATCTATTCAAAGGTATTATTTTTTTCAAATACATAATAGATACAAATAGAAATTTTTTATTAAGATTAATCTTTGTTGAATAAGTTACATCTCTAAAATTTGGAGTCGTAAAATTAATTCCACATAGGGTTTTGACCTCGGGAGTAATATTTGGGGTCCTAATATTATCCTTTCCAGGTTCTCCCATTTTGGGGACCGTTGATGCAAGAGAAAAGGCATAAATTCGTTTATATCTGACTTAGCCTTGTCTAGTCTCTTAGGCACTCAGTCCAAACCTATCTGTAAATCCCCTGTGACCGCCATTACTAACCATCACATGGGTTCTTTCACCTTTCAAAGTAACTGTAAATCACTATCCTTATATGGGTTTCTTTCCATTTCAATTAAGTCTTGATTTATAACCATTTTGAATCTCTGCATTCTATTTGGCATATACCTTCGCCTCACAGCATGCACGCTTCATCAATTCCCTGCAAAGCCTCAAATTTGAATGTTAATCTCTCCCCATTTAACCAAAGATCATCATCTAAGAGGAGCTCAATTAGGTTTTTCCAGTTTGGCTTTCCTTGGCCTTCTCCCATGGCTTCTTCTTCTCCCTCTGGTTCTGGTTTTAAGGTTCAATCCCTGATGGGTTCTTCTTCAAGCGAGGGTTTCCAAACTCTAATGGATTATATTGGCAAGGAGGGAGCTGATATTGGGGATGACCTTGTGATTTTGTTGAACCATTTGCAATATGCTTGTAAAAAGATTGCAGCTTTGGTTGCTTCTCCTGTGAGTTCTAAGCTTAGGCAACAAATAGAGTTTTCTGAATTTGGTCAACGGATGGCCCGAGACAAACCTAAGCCTCTGGATATTGTTTCGGTACTCTATTCCTTAACTTTCGAATTGATTATTTGGAGGTACATTTTTTTGTTTCTGGTGTTTCCTTCTCTCTATCTGTTGTTTTTTTGCATGCTGTCATGATAGTGTGTAGCTGCTATGGTAGGTTGTTCCCTCTGCTTTTATTAAGTTATTTTTTGGGTTTTGTTTTGTATCTAATTTCATGTGATGTTTTTTTGTTATTTCCCCTCAGAAACTATGAAAGAAATTGCTTTTTTATTTGTACTTTTCCTATTGACACTGTTCCTACTCAAAAATATTTTGCATTGGAAGAGTAATGAAACACCCAAAATGTGAGTACATTTGCAAAGTTACTCACTGGACATTTCTGGAAAAGGCCTTTGTCTCTTGATTGTGGGCAAGCAGCAATTGTGCTGAGGTCATGCTTCTTCTTATATCTGAATGCTGAACAAATTGCCCATCAATGATTTTTATTCCACCCTGAACAAAGATAATATAATGCTGGTGATTGAAAATATTTTGTATCAAGGGATAAAATAACGTAAGTGTATGACAATGTCAAGCAGGATAAGCAAATTCATCATAGTTGTGACTTGTGATAATTGTGACAAATCCCTATTTACATTTGGCAATTGCTTATTTCTATTGTAACTGCCACACATAATAAATTAGTACATGAGTATCTGTGTAAATTTATTATCATATATTGAGATGGAAGAAACTAACCAGGATGTCTATGTGCTCCCGTCCTTGAATTAGGGAACTTAAATTCTAGAGCAGAAGCGCCTGATGGCTCCAAGTTCTAAGTTCCTGATCTTGTGTTTAACAATTATGCAGGAATGCTTTTTACCAGATAGATTATATGGTTTCTTAGGGTATTACAATGTGATAGCTGTTGCATAGAAGACTTGGGCATTTGAGCTCAGTCACAATCAAATAAAACTCTTTAACATATCTGCTGGTGGCAATGGAGCTGTTTCCTAGGTCCACATGTAGTGCAAATTTTGCTTTTGATTAACTTGCCATCACATGTTTTTCTTGTCTGTTTTTATGGTAACTCATCTCTTGTTTCCCTTTTCCCATTGATTGCTACTTTGTGTTATTTATTGGCTCTAGAATGCTGCATTCACATGTTTTTCTTGTCTGTTTTATGGTAACTCATCGTTTGTTTCCCTTTTCCCATTGATTGCTACTTTGTGTTATTTGCTACTTTTGGCACTGAATAGAATAAATTTCGGTTTTGTTTTTTAGTCAAATATGGTGGGTTTCAAGTAGCATCCTATTGTTTTTGTGCTCAATGTAACATGTATATTAAGTTCATATTTTAACTTGTTGGAGGAGTCGACCTTGATTTCCTACTGTCCTCGTTTCTTTGGTTGTTTCTCATAGAGGATAGTATTTTTGTGCTGTATGCTATACATTTTAGTCATTTAAGGTAATTTTGTATGTGAACATTTTGTTTTAAAGCATGCAAGAGGCTTGGTTTCCTTGCTCCATAGATTGCTATGACTAGAGGATGGGGTGTCAAGTAGTGCAGTGTACTCTCTGTAGGAGTGTGCTCAAGGACGAGCAGGTGTTCGAGTGGTTAGTTGAGTCCAGTGGGGTACTAATTTGAGAGTTGAGATAGATGGAGGATTTGAATATGGAATAGCCCAGGACTCTCTTGATCAGGTCATTCTTTTATTATCTACCAGGCAATTGGTGTAAGTCCTCTCCTGATCATGTTGTATATCATTCCAGCTCTGACTATGGTTAGCCTTTGGTTGGATGTGGATGCTAGGGAAATTTTGACTAAGAACAACTTTTAACATTGGTTCCATCCTCTGATTAATGGTTATGGATACAGAGGACCAGGGGCGGTGACTCATCTACTTATTCAGCATCAGTTTGCAATAATGATTTGAAGCTTCTTCCTGGCCTAGTTTATGCTCAGGATGCCAGAGACAATGACACTTGGTCATTCACCCGTTTCTTGTCTTAGGATGGTACTACTTTTGCCCTTTGGCATTTTTTTCTGGGTTATTTGGAGGGAAGAATTGCGGATTTAGTTGTCTACCTACTTGCAATCTCGTGCCGAGGCACAGTATTAGGTATTCCATCTTATGTGTTCTAGTAGGAAGAGGATCTAGTGTTAGTGAGGAGGATCTTGTTTGGGATAACAATATTGCTCAGTTAAATCATAGAGGGTTAAGCTCTTCTCAAAACTTTGATCAACGGATAGATCTTGTGAAATTATAGAGATTTTATGATATGATTGACAAAAATATAAAAATGTAAATTAAGATAGGGTGCAGTTTGTATAGAGCCAAGGCGCTAAACAATCAAAGTAACGTGCACCTTGAAATAGAGTCGAGAAATGTGGTTTCAATACTGGAAATCTTTGTGATAGCCTTAAAATATATTTTCATCTCTAATTATAAAATTTAAAGCTTCAAATATAGTATAGATCGAGCAGATCTATGAAAAGTTGAAAATCTTGAAAATTGACGGTCCAAAAATGCATTACAAGATGCACTATTTCCAAAACTCTAAATCCATTTTTTTCTCAGGTCCATGCATCTTGAGGTCGAGATGATCAATTTGAGGATAGTTGGGCATCAAAACACTTTTCTAGTGAAATTTTTGAGGAGCACTGTAATTTGATTGTTTAGAGCCTCGCACTTATATAAACTTTTTCAATTAAGATATTCAAGCACCTCATGATGATGAGCTATTAATAAAGACAAATGCATGGGAGGAGTTTTTAGTTTGAAGAATGCGAAGGTGCTGTTGTCTCTTCACTTTTTCCCACCTGTTCTGCCTTTTTATGCTTAGAAGAATTTTGATGCTGGTTTCATCACCCTCTGCTGAGAGAGAGAGAGAGAGAGAGAGAGAGAGAGATCCACACAAGTGCACATGCTTCAAAGCTCCATTTTTTAATCATATTTTAGAGTTATAATTTACAGAGCTCCATTTTTTAACCATATTTTAGAGTTATAATTTAGTTCTATTGCATCGTTTATCATGATGTCCTTGTTCCTGTGGACATTATGTTGTTGCCTGTTATTCATTTTATATGGTTCCTCTATGAGTATGCTCAGCAACTAGTGTGTACCAAGGTTGCACCATCTCTAGTTATTATTGGTTATTCAGCATCAATTATGATTGCATAACAGGCTGCTCCATACACTTGCATTTCAGAGTCCCCTCAGTCCTTCCTACTCCCCCTTCTCCTTTCTCTCTTACTATTCTGTCTCCTAAGCCCTAAGAAAAGGGATTCAACCCCATCCTCCTCACTCTCAAATTCTCTCTCTTTCTTTGGGAACCAATGAGCAATAGTTTTCTGACAAATATCTTTCTAATCCTGTAGAATGAGATCATTCTGGCCTCCCTTCGAAGCTCCGGAAAGGTTGCAGCCATGGCATCAGAGGAAGATGACTCCCCTGTTTGGATAGCCGATAATGGCCCCTACATAGTGGTCACTGATCCTCTTGATGGTTCTCGAAACATTGATGCCTCCATTCCCACTGGGACAATATTTGGAATATATAACCGACTCATAGAGCTTGATCACTTACCTGTTACTGAGAAGGCACTGCTTAATTCACTTCAATGTGGACAGAGACTTATTGCGGCTTGCTATGTCCTATATTCTTCAGCTACTATCCTCTGCATCAGTTTTGGTTCAGGAACTCATGCATTTACACTTGATCGGTCATTGGGTGATTTCGTTCTCACTCATCCATATATAAAAATTCCCGCTCGAGGTAAATTCCGTTACCATATTCCATGCATGAGTCTCTCTCTCTCTCTGTCCCATTTTTCTTTGAATTATGGGCAAATGTATTAGACATGCTTAATTAACTTTATGGGGAGTGTACTATAATCCGATGAACTTTGTGAAACCAGAATTAATCAGAGTCATCATTGTCCAATAGGAATGACAGATGTTGATCGAAAGAGAATGCGACCCACCATTGGGATCATGTCCTCTTTTTGTGAACTCCACTCTCTCCATCCCCACCCATCATTTCTTCCGATGGTCTTGAACCAGTGTCTATAATTTTCCATAGTCCACTGGGCTCTTAGTATTCTCTTAGGTCAAATTCTCATGCCTCACCTTCTACTATTGTCAGGGCAAATCTACTCTGTTAATGATGCCCGGTATTTCGACTGGCCCGAAGGCTTGAAGCAATACATAGACACAATTCGACAGGGAAAGGGGGAGTACCCCAAAAAATATTCTGCTCGATATATCTGTTCGTTAGTTGCCGACCTCCACCGAACTTTGATCTATGGTGGGGTAGCAATGAACCCAAGGGACCACCTTCGGCTAGTTTATGAGGCAAACCCACTAAGCTTTCTAGTGGAGCAAGCAGGAGGGAGAGGCTCTGATGGAAAGTCAAGGATTCTCTCTATTCAACCTGTGGAGCTTCATCAGAGGCTCTCTCTCTTTCTTGGAAGCTCAGAGGACATCGAAGAACTTGAGAGCTATGGTGAAGTTCAACAGAAGGTTAATCCTGGTTATGAGGTTTGATACAAGGTGAGCCAGACTGGTATGGTTTCATTTCAGGTTGGTGCTTAGATTGAGTGTCAAGTGCGTATAGTAAATTATAATTTCGGATGAATTTGTGGATGGTTGTTTACATGTTATCGAATGGAAGAGTATGTTGATATGTGATATAATATTTGCATCCATTGCCCAGTATAAATTCATATTTTTTTTTGGTTGATTTGTTGAATCTCTCTCTATCTCTCTCTCTCTCTCTCTCTCTCTCTCTCTCTCACACACACACACACACACATGCATGCACGTGTGTATGAAAATGCACATTTGCTACAACAATCGAAGTTATCTAATGTGAACAGGATTTTACTTCCACATTCATCCTCAATTAATTTCCCAAGCAAACCTGTGCAAGAACAACAGCGACCTCAAACGTTCAAGACCCGAGTAGAAAACTAGTATCCTACACCACTGGTTTTGCCCTCTGTTCCATTTCCCGGCTCGTTAGGTCCTGGTTCTCGGTACACACACAAACCAAACATATACATCATATCAGCTATTGTCGACAGATACCAAATGTTCTTTCTCATACTACTTATCTTCATGAAGCTTCAGGTCTGGCATACATTAACCAGCAAAAAAAACATATCTCAACTTTCATGGAGTATTCCAAGCTTTGTTGAGGTGAGATTTGAGCTCTGAAACTTCCTCTTTGGGCAGAGTCACTGTCACTACTCTCTCTCCATTGCTCCCTGCACCAGGGAGCACAAAAACCACACCAGCATCCCCAACCTGTTCCACACTGTAACTCGCATAAACAGGCCGTTCTTTTGCTAACTTCAGCTCATAACACTCCAGTCCTTCCAAGTCTACGAATGTCAAGTTCCCACCATACACTATGGCATCATTGTTCACAATGTCAGCCTCTATATATTCACATATTTCCTTGGTTTCATCCTTGGCTCCTTTCAATATTTCCACTGCCAATTCTTCGAGTCTAGCTTCTGAGACTGAGAAACCAACACTCACCGTGCTTATAGCTTGTTGGTTGCTGAGAATTCCCTTAGGCTTCTTGATGAGAGTTAGGACATTGGGTTCATTGGGGCCTCTGATCTTAGCAAGAGTTTGCCAAATGAAAGCCGAAACTGCTTCGAACGAGCTAGTTTTGCAGTTGGGGCTGGAGATATTAGATAGCAGTTGGTTTACATGAGAACCTGATATGTGGAAAGATGTGGTCTCCATTGGAGTGGTGTTGGTGACTGTCCAATAGTCTCCAGCTGGTTCGACGGGTTTAGAGACAGACAGTGGTTTCATGGGCTTCTTCTCTTGAACTTCCGGTTTTAGGGGAGGGGTTAGGGTGACAGTGGGTAGTGGAGGTTCGGCGGGGTTATCTGCAATGAGATTTCCCCATGCTTTGATGAAGTTGGATGCTGTGAATGCGTCACCTAATATGTGTGACCAGTTCATTGCAATCGACATCCCACCACATTTGAACTTGGTGAACTACAAGAGCATGTTAAAACAACAATGAGTGATTATAAGTAGAATGAATGAAATCATTGCAATCAAACAACAATGTTTGAAGGTTGTTGCATTATAATACTATACAACCATTGCATCAATATATATATATATATATATA